AAAACTCCAAGTCAATGAAATTGAATATGTTTTTATTTGAATACCATATGTTGCCATAACGTATTTTTATATTCATTTAGAGCCATTCAGTAACGTTAACAGTCACTGTTTCATGGTTTCTTTTTTCCTACGTGAGTAGCAGGTAGTAAGCAGAGAACGAGTGCAAACATTTCACAAGTAACTTCCTTCTTTGCAAAACTTTCACACATAACTTCCTTTGATGCTAATCCTTGTGCTACACTACTTGCTCGTCATGGTTTCTTGAATTAAATTACTAAGTGACTCAAAGTCTAACAGCCCCAGAGACAGCAGAGGTGGTTTCAGATTCACTTGCTACCTCTAGAACTTTCAGCCAATACTTATTCTTTACTGGCCTCTGTTTCTCATCAGTAAAATGGGCATAATAATCCGTTTTTCTGAATCTAAGGAAGCTGTTTGCCTGGCATATTGCCTGGCAGCCTGGGTGGCTCGGGAATACTTCCCTAGCACCTGTGCAGCTCTAGCACAGGCAGTGTGCTCTTGGGCCTCTTGCTCTCTCTTGGTCTTTATGCCTTTGTGTGGACCCTCCAGTTCCCGTCTTCCTTCCTTTCCAAACCTCTTCTGTCTCAAAAGTTCAACACCATGGTGACCGGGAAATATAATAAGGGGGAATAGTTTAAAATATTATTTCTGTTAGAGGAATCCACACCTTGGCTAAAGGAAGGCATGCCCCAGATAAACTTACAGGCAACGGGGAGCTGGTGGGAGAGCAAGGGAGGCCCTCACCTCTCCAGCAGTGCCACTCGCCATCCTTGGGACTCTTGGGTGGAGCTGCCCAGGGGAAGGAGATGAAGTGTGTGTGCCCTGGCTCTACGTCTCCCAGAGGGCTGCGGGAAACAGTGCTAGACTTCACTCTCGTCCCTCTCAGAACACTGAGGAAATAGGCAAGTAGAACACGCCCCCTCAAACAGAAGAAAGGCTCTTAACAACTCTCAGGCTGTTCCACTGGCTGACTGGTGCTGATCAGACCATACAGGAGCAGACCTCAAGTTCAACCGAGGGTCCACTGTAAGAGAGGTGCTGGAAGACTGGAACATGCACACAAAAGGGCACGAAGAACAACAAAGATGCACCTAAAACTGTGGTGGGGACGGTTAAGCGAGAAGACAAGAGTACAAGTGACCTCTCTCCTCACACGCTCAGCCCTCAAGGCTGCTAAGCAGGAGCGGTGCCTCCTCCTCTGCCCAGGTGCACCGCTGAACCTGGTTCTGCAAAGAGCTAGGGCTGGTGGCTGGGGATTCAAAGATTATTGACTTTTGGCTGAATACCACAATTAGCCTTCTGTGAGTGGACCGTATAATGAGACCATGCCCCCCGTTATCACTGAAGTAAGGGGGTACACAGGCTGGATGACCCCAGGGATAGGACAGTAACAGTGACCTTCAAGGACTGCCTTGGCTTGGAATTAGTTTTTAAACTTCTGGAAAACTGTTTGTTTGTAGATAATAGAAAAATTTTCATTTTAGAATCTATACAATATTTTAAAAATAAATATACAACAGTTGCAAATATAAAATAATACCCCAGATAACTATATAGCCTTCATCCATACTCATGAGTTGTCAACATTTTACCAATTTATTATTTGTAATTCCTTGTTTTTTTCTCTCAGATTAGATGATAGACGATTTTAAAAGTCCCTTGTCTTTAAGAATTAAGATTCTATAAACTGAGGCTTCTTTCTAGGTTGAGCATTCCTCATCCGAAAATCCAAAATCTAAAAAAGGCTCCAAAATTTGAAACAGCTCTGCCCTGGAATTCTGCAAAAGGAATACGGGATTCTGGAAAAGGAGTCTGTGGCTTGGGTCATGTCCCTGACCTTCCCTCTTCCTGGCTCACCATGCGGCAGTTTCACGGGGTTTCTTTACTTCCTCCAATTGCTAAATTCATTCAGGCCAGGGACTTCCCACTTGCTAGTTCCTTTACCTTCAGTCCGCCCTCTGAGGTCCCGTGACTCGGTAGTTATAACATTCCTTGACCTCCTAAGCCAGTGATGGCTTCGAAACCAAACAGCTGCTGTGACCCGCATGCCATTGGTTGGCCACCACTTTCAGCTTTCCCTTCCTCATTCCCTCATGATACTCTGTCACATTCCTCATGTTGCTGCGTATGGTTCTCTACAACGATCTTCAGTATTGACTGTCACCCCACGAAACAGTAAACCCCTGAACACAGGGACGTTCTTGTTCTTCGCCACATCCTCGGTGCTTGTGTCAGAGAACACTCAACAAATATGAGTTAATGAATAAATAAGACAACAAATAAGAATAATGGTTGAAGACCTGTTAGTACGAGGATAGATGTTAGGATTTAACAAAACACCTCAGGTAGCACATGCTTATTCTAGAAAAGTGAAGTGTGAGGTGTCAGGGACAGAGGTTCAGAGGATGTTTTCCCCTAAACTACTCTGTGCTTAAGATTTTTGCTAGAAGCCAAAGTGCTTTCTGCTACCATTTACTTGTGAACACAGAAATTTGCTAGCACCCCTGGGACAAACTCTCCCTAGATGGTTGATACAACAAAGTCAGGCTGAATAGGGTTCACTCTATGTCCTGATGTTCATGACAATGACTGAATTTCTTTTATAAATTGATTCTGAAAATTTTACCTTGTTTTCCTTTCCACACGTTACCACAAGATTTCTTTCAAAGTTCATGGGTAAAGTGATGCTGTGCACAGGTGACCTGTTCCACACGTACCTTTTTCTAGAGTCACTTGGCCCATTAGAATGTAGTTTCCTGGCCTCCAAAATGGGCTATCAAATTGGAGGAGTATATGTGATTTTATTAAAACACCTGAGTCTTTCCCTTATATATCAGTTTCTAAATACTGCTGATCACCTTGAGCACTGGGTCTTTGCTTTGGGTGAAGGCTAAAAGCTTCTGAACTTGAAGCTGACCTCCTCCTCTACCACAGAATGTAACATCACTTAATGTGAAAGGCAAGAAATCCTAAGACCTGAAGAGAATGGAATAAACCAGCTGCGGGAGAATGACTGCTCAAAGTTTCTGTTTATTCACTTAAGAGTAGTGACTTAACAGAGAAAAGAAAATAATCCTTAGGGGGGAAAACGTGAATTTAAAAAGTTATCACAACAACATGCTAAAACTAAACTGCTGCTGCTGAATCCAGCTTTCTCGCAGGGTGTTATGTGTAAGAGGTAAGAACCGAATCTAGAGGAAGACTTCCCGGGTCTGAACCTCAGCTCTCTAACTTGACTGCTGTGTGACTTTGGGCAAGATATTTAATGATGTTTCTCAGCTTGCCTATCTATAATTTAACGATTCTAATAGTACTGAACCCACAGGGATGATAGGTAAGTAAAGTTCATACAACACTACCTCATATATTAAGGTACTTGTATTATCACTCGTGAAATAACTGGCATTATTTTTCTTTCTTACTCCCCACCTCCAGTTAAAGAAGAAAACTTTTTTATTGTTAAGTGCCTTCCAATATAGCACCCAATTTTGATCCTAACAACAGCTAGTTTCATTGGTAGAAGTTTCTTTGTTTTAAATTTTGAGACAGGGTCTTGCTCAGTAGCCCAGGCTTGGCCTTGAATTGTTGAGTTTCCTGCAGTCGCCCCCACATGCAGCTTGGAAGAAGTTTCTGACTTTACAGATAGTTAGCCACAGGCTCAAGATGAGAACACTGATAAACAGCTGAGTTCTGGACGCCGTGGCCTCTTCTCGCCTCCTACTAGCCCTCACTGGATTGTTTTTCTTCACTTCCACATACTGCTAATGAATTTGGACTCTGAGACGAGCGGCCACTGTACTGCATTCTGTGGCTCGTGTCACTGACTACAGGCATTGGCTTGACTTTGAAACAATTACAACACATAGCCAAAAGCCTCTGTTAAAACCTATAGAAACTGGGTGTTTTAAAATAAAAACATAAAAACTAAAGGTAAGTGAAAACTGTTATTTAAATTCTAAAATATCCTCTGTGCAAATACTGATGCATTACTTATACACAGAGAGGTAAACTGAGAAAGACTAATTACTATTTCTGTTTCAACTAAGCACAATATCAAAAGAAAACAAGCAGTCCAGAAGAAAAGTAAATTAACTTTTCTTTCAGTTGGAAAGACCTAAAATTCTCAAAGTGGTACAGGTGAGCTACTTCTATTTATTTTAGAATACAGTACACATAGTTAGAGGATGATAGTAAGTTGGCCACCAACCACGGTTCTCAGGACTCTCCTTACTATTGGGAGGTCTAGTTTCAGCAAGGTTAATGGTGATGGTTTAAAGTAATTATCTGGGGAAAGTAAGCATCATTTCATAGTTTAATATCATGGTACCATTCCCATCAATGTCCTTTTCCTATTTTCATTTTTGCCCAACACAGAGAGAAAAGCAGAAATGCTAATTTGACTGATGGAAGGAAAAACACCCTAAATGTACTTTTTGCCAGGGGAGGGAAGTGTGAGGAGGAAAGGTCAAGCAGCTGGTTTTCATCTAGGTGCCACAGTTCTGTTTAGTTTACACTATTAAACTCCAAAGCTCTGCTTTAATCTTAACTGTTATAGTATGGCTTGCTGCAGACCTATCATGTCACATCCCTGACAGGGTTCAGACTTCGGCGAAGTTCTATCCCCCAGACAGTCCTTGCAATATGCATAGTAAATGCATCCAAGGTCTCTGCCTTGGTGCCTGCCTTGTTACTTTCTGTCACCAATAATTTCTTGGGTTTTCAGTAAATTGTTGCATACGCTCTGGTTTGGGGATGATGAGATGATCTCCTGTGTTTATCTGTATGCAGCTGGGTCTTTATTAGGGCTTCTCTGATTATTCTCTTGTGGATGATCAAACATCTGTTTACTGAAGATGTAGGGAGGGGATGTGAGTGAAAAAATCATACAGGGAAACGAAAACATCAGGAGCAAACCACTGCTTTCCCGAGCTCTCAACACTAAGTCACGATAAGGAAGAAAGGTGTGCAGCAAAGCTTACCTGCTCTGTCTTCGTTTTGTGAGTCACATCTTCGGCATAGTTCTGGGATGGTCTTGAGTGATGTGACTGAATACTGAAGGGAAAGTCAGAGGAGAAAGTGAGAAAGGTAGCAGTGTAACATGAGCGCATTTACTCTAACTGGCCAGAAAAACTACACACAAGAAGACATACTTGAACACAACATTTATTTGCAGGAATATCTACTCCAATGTACCCCATGTGGGCTGCCTGGTGACTGGGCAGCACCTTAAGTTCTGCCTAAAAGCATGCAAGCAGATGCAGGCTGAAAAGAGGCTTGGCGGCCCTTCTCTAGCTACCAACATGGGAAATACCCAGCAGTGTTCTCTCATCACTTCCGCTACCTGAGGAAGAGGTAAAAATTATCTGACTTTGAAAGTTTCCACAAGATGCCATGTATTTGGATTCTGAGCCCAAGTCAGTTGGAAAACCAAGTGGAGGAGCATCAGGCGTCCAAAGTCCCTGATATTGCCACTTGCCATGGATATGACTGCAGCATCTGTGTCTCCTTGGGAAATACCAGCATAATGACATAAAAAGGGAGAGGAGTGTGGTTGTGTGTTTGAAAGCTCATCTGTTTCTCACATAGATGAGTTTGAATCAAAAGGAGCCACCTTTCAAGCCAGGTCCCAGCACCAGCTCAGGGACTAGCTCTCAGGATAACAAATGATGACATAAGGAGGCACAAAATCACAAAAACTGAAAACAAATGTAAAATCAATGATTTATGTGGACTACAGTTGATGCCAATCAATCTTTCTTTAGAGAAGGTGGTTTTCCAATAAAATTAGTAAGAGGAACACCTCCTTTAATCAAATGCTAAGCCAGAACTGTCTCCCATTACACTTATATTTTAATTCATAAAATTGAGTTTGATAAGAATATTTTGCTCAGTACTTCTGAGAACAATATTCTTATGCAAATGAGCATTTACCAGGAACTCCCTCTCACAGCAAAGTTTTGTAGGGGGACTGAGACAACATTTAATCTGAAAGAAAAATGACCATGAGAAACTCAATAGGATTATTCTAGTCTTGCAAGTGATGAATGTGTAACCTAGACACATTTTTCAATTCCATGCTACTTTAGATTGTTGATAGGTAAAGCGAGGTGACTGTATTGTGACCTTTGGAACTTTCCACAGAGTACCTGCAAGATGGGCAGTTGTAGATAGTGTCAATTTTCCAACTACACATCACAAACAAATTAAATTCAGTATTTCCAAGTGAAAAGTGAAATCTCAGATGGTTAATTAGAGAAATTACTCTTACCTATCTGATGCAATAACATCCTGTTTATGTTGGCCATTCCTCGGAGACTACAGAAGGAGGGAGACTGTCTCTCAAAGCAAAAATGAAAGTATTTTTCCCTATTATATTATGGTACTGGGCAGAGCTGACATACACAGAGAATGCATTTTTCTTGGTACTACCAGTAACAAGGTGCCTTACATTTCTGGTCAAGTAAAGGCTTGCTAAGGAATCTAGGAGATTCTTGAGACCAGCTAGAAGAGGTTAAAAGACTATACAGTCCATAATTCAACTAAAACTGGGACTATTGTCCTGGTTGTCATATACCCCACCTTCTTTATTTGGGGTGTTTTTATTTTTATTTAATTAATTTATTTGCTTTTTCCTCCAAGGAAAAAATTTTAGAAAAAATTTAAGATTGATTGTATTTAAACACAGTTAATGACAAATTCAGTAAGGCTTGCTCCTGGGCTTAGGAACACGTATGTGATTAAGATGGGTGAACTGCTGGCTGAGGATTTAGGTCAGCAGCATAAGCACCTGCCTGGCAAGTGCATGGTCCCGAGTTCAATCCCTGGTACCAAGAAAATGAGAGAACTGTTGTCTGTATTTCCAGGCCTGTGCACCCTCACCCACAGCACAAGGCAGACACCTGGGATGTCCACTCATTACTGCACTCCAGCTCTTCCTGTCTGACCACATGCAGTGAGTTTTGATTTGACTCACACATGCGCACAGCACACCGAGACTGAATCTTGTAAAGTTGCCCAGACTGACCTTGAACTTGTGATCTTCTTGCCTCTGTCTCTGAGCAGCAGGGACTACAGGTGTGTACCATCACACTTGGCAACATAACAAATCTCTTGTGGTTTTCCTACCTGTTGTTTCATCTGTCTCTATCTTTAACGTCTGCTATTGTATCTATCTAAATGTCCTTGTACCCATTTGACTAAAGAAAACTCCTTTAGATTGTTCAAGATCTGCCTGGCCGTCACTCCTACGATACCTTTCCCTGACACTACCGGATAGAGGCCTTGCCAGCTTTCAAAGCATGATCTTTGGATCAGTGGTATCAATGATACCAGGGAATTCTTAGGAATTCAAACTCCTGGAAGTCACTCAGCTTCTGAATCAAGAACTCTTGAATGTGGGGCCTGGCAATCTGTTTTATCCCAAGCTGTCCAGGGACTCTTATGTATGAGTTCAAAAGTGACTGCTCTACATTACTTCCTCATCTTAGTCATGCACAAGTCACAGAATCTGTTCAGGGTACATGTTATCTGTGTCTGTACATAAATGTTTTATCTGCTTCCTGGGGATGCAGACAATGTTTTATCTACCTCAGATACTAAGCACTTATTAAGCTGAATTACATGAATTCCTCTAGGTTGTCCATGAGTTTAGTTGTAGTAACACTAACTATAATAGCAGTTACATAGAACTAATCTTCTTAGAAAAAACCTGTAACTACAAATCTAGCAATGTAATCATGGTACATTTAAAAGAAAAGAAACACTCAACATAGTAACAGCATGAGTACTTGCTGATGTCCTTTGCATAATGAACAACAAATTTGTGGACAGGTCTAGATTCAAGTTGTAGTTCTGACATTTATTAGCTCTAGTTCTGGAAAATCAAATGATTTGATATCTGAGACTCAGTTTCCTTATCTGTTTTTACATCTGAAATAACTGAAGACATTTTATAAACTGTTAGCTGCCATTAAATGGTGTTGTGTCTTCCCTGTAACCTGTTTTTGGTGAGTGTTCAGAACCCCTCCTCCTGTTTTCATTGTGGTCATGATTTTAAGCTCAGTATAACAGGATGTGAAAAGTAATAAGACAGGTTGAGAGGGGCTCAACTAGAACTAGAACGAAAGGAAAGAAGGCTCAGCCCATTCCACGATGTTACTTGGCTTCTTTTGGTATTTTCTCACCCACGAAAGTTTGTGAGTGAAGACTGTCACTGAAAATTTAGATTCACAAACTACACAGCCGTACCTCCGTGCATCTGCGTCAGCCAGCCCTGTCATCCTGCCACATCATGCATCCTGAACATACATGGGATTCCTAACGAAGATGTGTGATTTCTACACCAGGCAACGGGGATCTCTGACCTTTAGATATTATTTGGGCCTAAAAAGTTTTGGCTTCTATTCCTAAGAACTGAAGCCAGTTGTGTGAACAGGCAGACATTACTCAAATGGTAATGAGCTATGGAAAGTGAAAGAATAGTCTCCCTCACACCTTTTCAAGCTAGAAACTTAAGTAATTAGGGTCCCACTAAGTTTGTAGAAGAAACAAGCTGCCTATCCAAACGACTTTCATGAAATTCAAGTTTTTTCATGGAGCTTTCCAAAATTTAGGCGGGCACCTCAATGGGCATGCAATAAAAAAGGCAACAACCTATGAAGGGAAAGGCACAGCTCAAGGGATAATTTCTGAGCATAATATTTTATAAGACGCTGTCCTCCTCTCCAAAGACTCAGCCTTCTAGTTCAGGAGAGCCGTGGGGTCCTCATGCATCTCTGAGGAAGTGGCCTGTCCACTCCCGCATCTCCAGCCGCCCGTGTGCTCAACTTTCCTCTCTCCTCATTTCTCTGAAACTCTTGTCCTGCCAGCAGCCCCCCTTCCCTGCATCTCCTTGGCTGCTCTCTCAATACCAGCTTTTTCCTTAGATCCTATAAAAATAAGCACTCTTGCTGCCTCGGGGCGCTCCGCTCCCTGAGCAGTCAGCCCATGAGCATTCCTGCTCATGTGTTTATGAGCTATGTGTTTGGAAAAAATTGTCTCTGTTCATCTCTATTTCTTCGTATCCATATTTACTCTTCCAGTCACCGTGACGTGACACTACCCCATGGACAGTGAACTTATTACAGTCCCAGGAGTCTTGTTTTTCAGTAATGGGACTGAATTCAGGGTCTCAGCACTGAGTTTCACCCCATTGCTTTAACGAGGCAGCGCCTCACTGTGTCTCTAAGTTACCTCACTGGACTGGACCTTTCGGTCTTTCTGCCTTGGCCTCCCGGAGCATTGGGATTAGAGGTGGGTGCCACTGTGCTTGGCCTCACGGTCTTAAATTCAAAACAGTAGACAAGTTTCAAACCTTATCTTCGATAATAATCTCTTGCCAATACTGACAGTCCCTTCTTTTAATTCCTTAAACCCTGCTCCCCTCTTTGGCTCATTTAGTTTTCTTTATCTCTGAAAATTCCTTTCCATTTTCTTTTGTAAAAGCTTCTTTTTTCTCCCTATTCCATGGGGTATATTTCTGTACAATTCTTTTCTTGAGACATTCTTCTCTTCCCAAGTCCCATGTCTTCACAGGTGACTTAGCTGCTATCACAGTTTCTACCACCTCTCTACAGTATGGATACTGTACTAATCATACACACTTTAATATATCATCCATTTTTTTTCATCTTTTTGAGACAGGGTCTCGCTATGCAGTTCAGGCTGGCCTTGAGCTCACTTTGTAGCCCAGGCTGGTCTCGAACTCACAACGATCCTCCTGCCTCAGCCTCCTGAGTGCTGGGATTACAGGCGTGAGCCACCACGCCCAACTGTATCATCCATTATTGAAATACATTTCATCATTTAGGCTCCATTAATTATAATTGCTATAATTCTATTTTCAAATGCATTTGACTATTGCTCTGGTTCCTTAGTTTTATTATATCGCCTTAGATGTTTTAAAAACATTAATAAAAATTTAAATGCTAGATTTTTTTAGTATTTATGAAAATTCAGTAACTTTTTGATAATCTTCAGAGTACACTGGGAACTACTATAATGTACAACTGATA